GTCGAATCTGAATCACTTGAAAAAAACACGGGGGTGCTTAACTTTTTTCCAGGTGTATATATTTACTAATTTCATTAAGTATTCCTAATACGCCAAAGCAAATAAATGCACAAAGAAAAAGTTACAAAGTTTTAAGTTCTACATCAAAAAACTAAAACCTTACCAATGGTACATCCTTCTTCACTAGCTGCATGAAAAAGTAAAACAAACTAATTAAATTGTGGTGATTATTTTCCATCATATAACAGTATCACAAAGACAAAATAATAAATAACTAATCAAAAGCACTCAAACATTTAGTAAATAATTTGGGTTTGTTGCAATATTTTCCAGAAGGTTGGTATAAGTTATTGTGTGTTATTTCATCCAACTGAAGAAAAAGACAAAAATATTTTCTTGCACTTGAACTGTGGTAGAAATAGCTGTCAATTTCAGGTAAACTAAAGTCTGGATGAAAATGTGTGAGGGTTTCAAGTAATTAGTGAAATAAAGTTTATTTTAAGAAATATGTATTCAGTGCAAACATCTTAACAAAAATTAAATTTGCACAAAACAAAAGAGGATGCTGTTAACCAATTTATGAGGCAAAACTATCCAAGACACCAACTTTGCTTTTAGAAAATCTTGTTTTTATCATAAGAGTAATTTGAAGTCATTTCTATTTGTGAAAGAAAACCCAAAAGTTAAAATCATGTATGTTTTACACTGTATGTATAAACTAGATGTAACTTCGAAATGCAAAAGCTTGAATGGGTATGTGTGTTTTAGGAAATGAATAATAAAAGTACTTTTAATTTAACTGCAATTCTGAATTATCAAGTGGTATTTTGGTACTTTGGAAGCCTCTAGATTGGCCACTGGTACTTTCTTGTGATATGTAAAATAATACACAATGTGTCAAATGCTTTATTTCATAAACACAAAACAAATTATTATAATCACCAAACAGAAATCATCCCTAATTAAACAAGTTACTTAAAAAGTGTAATTAAGAATTTAATTAATAGGTTTAATTCTGAACAAACAATTAGTAGTGTTTTTACCAAAATAAATTATTCCAGTTAGGTCTTTTAATCTCTAGAGAAGAGAAGAAATTACCTATAATAAAAGTTAATAGTAAATTTAGGCTTAATTTAACAACTTCTTGCTGAAAAAAATTATTTAGGAGCTCAGAAATCTTTCAAGAGCCTGGAAACCATTAGTAAACAAATTGTAGGATTCTGCAGTATAGCCTTTTTAGGGGGCTTGATTTGTGTTTTTGTATAGCAAAGCTACATCAGGCTATATACTGTGTCAACTGAGGGGAATTGAAGTGCTGATTTGAACGTTTTAAGTCCTTGGACTTACCACTGTCCCAGTGGGGGGGACTTTAGGAGGCTTGGATTCCAACCATTACAATAAAAATGCCAAATTGGTTAATTGTTATTGTATGATTCAAATTAGACAACCATGGCACCCCATACTTATTATTATGAAGACTTATAATCGACCATGTTGCAACATTTTCAACTTTCCAATAATCCTTAAGGAACTGTGAACTTTTTATTAAGCTAGCTCTTTTCTGTTTAGAAAACAACTGCTTTATATTTTACCTTTTTATTTATTGACTACAATACTTCTATCATGGAAATGTTAGACTTCATAAAAAGGTGACTGCAAATTGCATAAATGAAATGGGTTTAAACTCCATATATATGTATATATAATAATAATTGATAAAGATAATTCAGGTAGAAAATCAAATCAAGTTTATTATTACTAAAAGTAGAAATCTGAGACTCCCACAGATTTACCAACTGTAAGAACTCGGAGGTGTAGAAGGCAAATTAAAAGTGGGAGGACCCTAGGTTTATCTGAGTGAGCAAAGTGAGATAATGTCCCCACAGGCACACCCATTATAACTGGGTCTTTTATTCATGGAAAAAATTATTAAAACTATTTATTAGTGGGCTAGATATAAGATCCAAAACTTAATAATAACAGAAAATCCTTTACTTGTGATGTAATAAAGAATCAATGGATGACAATATAATATTTGAAAAATTAAAATATCACATACATAAAATAAACTATAAATTTTACATATATACGAATTTACAGCAAACTTTTAGATGTTTGATGGTTTCATACCTAAGATGATTCATAATAATAATAATTATTATTATTGTTTTTGAATAATCTGTTTTTCTTCATTTTTGTGGTTGTCAAAACTTTTTTTTCGAGGTTCATCACATCTCAAGTGTGTGATTATTTAACATAACAGAAAACATGGGCATTTGTACTAATCAAAAAATTAGCACAAATTAACATTAAAATTTTCTTTTTACAATGTGGTGTGATTCTTAATATTTCTTACTTAAAATTATCCGAAACTTGTTTTGTTCAAACTGTAATGTAAACTATAAGCTAAAATATAAACAAGAACATATGAAAGTGTTCAACAGATATAGTTGATTACTTCCATGACTAAGACGCATAAGAAAGAAACTCACCTTTTGTTCTTCTTTGATGACATGGGGACCAGTTGTAGAGAAAAAAAAGGAATATTAGTCAATACTGTAAGATTCCTCTTGCTACAATAAAATGTAGAAAACCATAAACCAGCAAATTTTGTTTTATAACTTAACGCCCTAAGGTTGCAAATATATTCAATATTTAAGGCACATTCATTGTTACTGGAATTTCACTGTAACTACATTTGTATTCAGAGAGTAGATCTTTAAAACGTTTAATTAGATTAAACATTAATAGCAGGTAGTAGTACACTTTGTTAGTAAAAAAAATAAATAGGTTCTATAATGTGAAGTAATTATATGGGAAAAAAGGTGATTACTAATTTATGAATTTATAGCTTTAACTGAGTAAAAGGGTTTAAACATGAAAATACAACAGTTTTATTAAGTAAGTGTCTCAGAATATTTGTTGATGAGAGTGATATTAATTCAAATTTTTTTTAAACTTTCTTTATGGTATTTGTACATAATTCAGTATTCATATTTTTATTGTTGCTATTGTTTACTGCAAAGCTACACAATGGGCTATTTGCACTCTGTCCACTGTGGGTAACTGAAATCAGCTTTTAGCATTGTAAGTCTTGGAACTTACCAGTCATTCACTAGATTGATCACATATCCTAACATAGTTTCTATAATGGTTGGAGACGGCTTGAATGGGTAATGAAGAAACACTATAATATAAGTTTAACATAACAGC